TCTTGTTCAGCTCTCTTGGTTTCCATGAAACTATTCACTCATGGTTTTATTCTTACTCTGTGACAGCTCCCTTTTTTCTGTTCTACTCCTTTGCACATATTTGTGAGCAACAATGTGAGCAACAATACACATTGTTGAGCAACAATGCAAGAGTTGGTTAATTGTTTTTCCTATCTACTTAAATTCTGCATTTCAAATTACTCTTTTTTTTTTTTTGAATCATCTAAGAGGAAAAATATCCTACATCCGGTTTTGAAATAAGTGTTTCACTGAGATTTGCTAAACCTTGATCAAAACTGATATCTCAGCAAGGATTAAAGTCAAAATTTTCTTCGCATTTTTGCTGATTTGTTTCTGCTGGTTAAACGGTAATGCCTGTTTGCTGCTAAAGGGTGTAATGAGGGCCTCCCGGTGGCGCAGCAGTTGAGCGCTGGGTTGCGAGGCTGCCGGCAGCCTCTGCAGCGCCGGTTCGATCCCTGGCCGCGCCGGGCGAGGGTCCCACATGGTGCGCAGACCTCTCCTGCCTCCCGCTGCTCCCCTCAGCAGTGTACCTTGTCACTCTGCCTGTTCTGCTCCCCGCTCTGGCTCTGGTGAATTCTCTCACCCTCCCGCGCTTCTGACTGTACCCAGTGCTTGTATTAATAAATAAATAAATCTTTAAAAAAATAAAGGGTGTAATGATATGTCTGTGCAGTGTAGAGTGTGTCTGTGGTCAGAACCGATGTGGGGCATGCTGCATTTTGTTTCTGGGCTTGTGTGGGTTTACATGGTTTTATACCTGCCCTTCTGCATCTCTTTTTATGGGACTGATTTCGTGTACATGACAGACCCATGCCCAGAGGATACTGCAGAAAGAAGAGGGATGTCTGTCATCTGTGGGAAATTGACAATCGTTAGAGAAACCATTGATCAAAATTACAATAATTACAATGATCTATTTATTTTTATTATTTTATTTGAAATATTGACTGATATAAGCCGATGGATAGTCTCTTACATTGGGGATGCCTCGTGTGCTATGTTGTGTAACCGACCGTAACACCATGCCTTACATCTCCTTGTATTCTTCTTTATCTCAAGGGCTAGGATATAGGAACCTACATTTCCCAGCATATTTTACTATATGGTTCTTGTTTGCCCGCCCCTTATACATGCCATTGCCTGGAAGGCAGGAAGGTAGGAGTGAAAAGAGGCATCATACTTCTTAAGTCAGTGGCAGTTACCAAGTCCACTGTAGCAGATGTGAGCTGTAGCATCCGCAGTGGCACTGAGAATCACTTTCAAAATCACCTGCCTTGAAGCTCCAGGAAAAGTGACCCCTTGACCTTGGTTGCTTGGAGTGTTTGACTTGGTTGAAAGTTGGTGATTCTCAGAAGACTGAGCAGGGGAATCTGAGAGCTAGTCAGCACATCTTGATTTTGGTTCCTTCAGACCTTCCCACACTCTTATGGACACCAATTTCTGGCAGCTGAGCCGTTTTCTTCATGAAATATCTGTATCAACTGCTGTTTCATTTTCTAAACCAATATATCCCATGGATCCTGGTACTGTCATGTTACTTCAAAATCTAAGGTGAAAATGATTTGCTATTGCTGGTTATTCATAGCAGGCCTCGTGGTAGTTGGAAAGACTACTTGAGTGACAGCATCAGGTGGCTATGCTGGGATGATCTCCCCACCCAACTGGGCCTCACATTCCTTGAATCAAACCTTTGAAAATTCATGTTGTTTTCTGCTGAGTTCCTGCTCCCACATTCCAGAGGCTTTTCCATTTTCTTATAGAAAACAAACTTTTACAGGCTTGTCTGTGTCTCCTTGCAAAAATTCTAGGGTGAATACAATTAAAATAGCACCTTAGACCTCTGTTAAACATGTGTGATTAGTATATTGAATAAATGTCTTTTTGGCCTATATTTTGGTTTTCACCTGTGTTTTTGCTTAATCTTAGACAAAACACAACCTGATAGATATACATATCTTTTTTTTAAAAAGACTTATTTTTATTTATTTATGCATACAAGAACTGGGCTATAGGCCAGAGGTGTGGGTGTGAAAGGATTCACCAGAGACAGAGTGGGGAGCAGAACAGGTGGCAGGTGAGCCAGGAGAGGTCTGCTGCGCCATGTGGGTCAGCAACCTGGCCATAGTGGCTGGGGATAGCTTGATAGGGCTGAGACTTTAACCCCTGAGCCACCAGGGAGGCCTGATACATATGACTTTAATTCAGAAAGCTGAATGTCCAGTTTAAATTGTTAATCAGAACTCTGAACATGGGTTAATGTTGCATTTCCCCCTTGACAGCGTGGGCCTTGAGCACCTCTGGGCTTTACCTAGTATCATTTTTGGTTTCTGCAGCTCTGCCTGGTGTCACTTTATCCACTTCTGCTTCCATTTTGTCATTGTCACCTGCTTTATGCAGATCTGTTCAGTTTATCCACTTGCAAAGAAGTTGAGTCACCATATCTACCTTGTTTCTGGCTGGAAAATGTTTAATTTGACCAGAGGGTAATGAGAATCGGGAGAGTAATAGAGGCCCTTGTGCTCAGAGGGGTGGAGAAACTTCCTGATTGCCTATCAGCTGGTCCACAGTGGCCTTAGGGTTAGAGTCCTAGGGGATTTCCCTTAGAAATGTGTGCTCTTCTACCACAGCATGGACCAGTGTTCGCTATGCCTGGTCAGCCCCCTCAAGTACAATGCCCAGTGTCCCGGCAATGAGATGAGGTCACATGACTGAGTTCTAGCTAACAGCATAAGTGAAATTCAGGGTTTGACATGTAAAATATTGCACATGCCATTCTCTTTTTTCCTGTTTTTCTTCGTGCTGTCTTTATGCAAGAAGAAATGGTGCAGCAAACAAGATGGCAGGAGCCTGGGATTGCTGAGTCACTCTGAGTTACTGAAGGTGACAGGCCTTGGGCTTCAAGGGAGGGATAAAGAAACTAAAATTTAAGTGTTATGTGATAAAGAAGCTGGCACAACCCCGCGACATCCCAAATCTGCAGTGATCACCGCCACCTTGGTGCTAAGCTTGTCTCCTCCCTGCCTGTCCTTCCTGCTCTTCCTCACACCTGCTCCTCTGAGAAGCTTTCTGGCCAGGCTAGAATAATCTGAGTCTTTGGGTCTTGCTTGCTTGTGTTTTGATATAACTGGTTAATTTCTGCTCTCATCTGCCTGCTTTGTGGATTTAGAAGTGAGACTTCTGTCTCTAGAAGAGGATTCTAGTAGCATACAGCTTCCCCCTCAGCAGTTCAATCAGCTGACAGATGAGTCCATGTTGGAGCAATCATCTCACTGGGCTTGCCTAGAGATCCTTGTTGCTTCCATGCTACTGATCCCTGATTCAGAACTCCCGTTTGCTTCAGATACATTGTTGAACCAAACTCAGAGAGAAAATTAATCCCCAAAGGCTTTCTGGAAGTCAGCAAAACTTATTTTTGAGCCTCTCATATATTCTTCAACAACATTCACGAGGTTAGCATCATTAAAATGAAAATTCAGATTATCTGTCTTCCTATGTATTTTTAAATGCACTTTAACTAAATAGAGTCTGATGCTACAACTGGTTCTCATTATGCACTAATTACTTGCTAAATTTGATTCAGAAGAACAAAGAAATTTTGAGTTACTCAAGGACAAAAAGTCTCCAATCCTCAAAAATATACATTTTTAACATTCCTTCTATTCAAAAATAGCTAACACATATTTCTTCGTGTTTGAGGGGAAAATCTCCCAGGCTAAGGAATTTGTTCCAAGTTTTGTTAAAGGAAAGAATTTGTGCTTCAATTTGGTGCCTTAAAATAGCAGAAGGTTAGAACAAGGCTATCTCCTTGGGTCTAAGTCATCTTTACTTAATAGTATTTTTTATTGTGTTTTTGACTTTCCCAAAGTGTCACGACTCTTGATCCTCTAGTAACACTGAATTTTTTACATTTTATTTTATTTTTACCAAACGTTTATGGAAAACTTTGCATGCCTCTTCTTTGAAATTTGCACTATCATAAGCATATTAGAAGGTCTGGTGTGTCCTGTAAAGACAGTCTCCACATCCCCTGGCCAAATTTGGTTTTATTTAAAAAAAAAAAAAAAAAAAAAAAAAGCTTGCTTCTTAAATATGTTGAGCTGCTTCTGTGTGTTTGTATATTTTCCCCAGAAATTCTTGCTATAAAAACATACTTCTTCTGCTTGTTCTTTTGCTAACTTCACTTGTTTCTTTCAAAGTAAGTCCAAGAACATCCATGTGATTCTAATGCTTGAATTCCTGTCATTTCTAGTATTTGTTATTCCCTTCTTTATCTGGCATAGTGCAATAGTAGTACTTATGTATTTAAAACTTGACTACTGAAGAAAACAAGGTGAAGGGAATGTGTAAATCTTCTCCTTTTCTTTCCTATGTATATTATGTGTGACATTTCTCAACTTGTGGATTTTTCTATTGACATTTGACCTATTTGGATGAGACTGTAACAGAATCAGTATGGGGCAGCAGTATTTAATAGGAAAAAAGGCCTACTGATAATGATGCACTCTTTAAGGCCCAAAGAATCTAGTTATGACCTGGAAATGCTTTCTTAAGATAAGTCTGCTGTAATTATACATATTTTTGGTCTTCCCCACTGGAACAAATCCTTGAGGGCAAGAACTTTGCCACTTCCCTAACCTCCATATCTGCACAGTTCCCACAGTGACTGAGAGAAATAGTAGATGTTTAGTTAGTGGGTGATGGAACTTGCTATTTTCATTGAGAAATGAAATTGATGTATGTACATCTTCATATACATGTTCTGTGTTTTGGGGACATGGAACTGCATCAGTTCCCCAGCTCATGATAAGGCAAGGAATTGTCCATGACTGTAACTATATACCTGAAACTGATGTAATGTCACTTCTACCTAAATTAAAAAAAAAAATGATTAACATATGTTAATGAGAAATTTTCATTAGTTGGCACTAATACTGCAAATATGTAAATATATAAACTATTCTAATTTTCAATTTTCACAGGTCCCCCTGTATGAATGGATGGTTATGGATTAGTGGAAACTCAATGGATGACCTATTGCTTGCAATTACTGGTGTAGGTTTGGAAACTACTTGATCCAGAAGTGTCATTTTAACCACCGTTTTCTTCTCTCATTCATCATACTCATACATGGCTCTATAGTTTTTATCTTCTGAAGCCAAATGTGGAAACCTATACATAAAAATACAAACTGTCATGAAATAAGTCAGTCTCGGGGATATTATGTAAAGCATGGGGACTATCGTTTAAAATGCTGTATTGTATATTTGCAAGTTGCTTACAAAAGTAGATCTGAAAAGTTTTCATCACAAGAAAAAAACATTGGTAATCATCTATGTGATGGCTGTTCACTAGACTTATTGTGGTGATCATTTCACAATATGTACAAACATCAAATCACTACATTATATATCTGGAAGTAACGTAATATGTTATAAGTCAGTTCCATCTAAGTTAAAAATAAGTTATTAAAAATGAGAGTTAATATAAAATTAATATTAATTACACTAATATTAATGCAGGTGAGTTAATTGATTAGTTAATATATTTTTAAATATTTAATTTTTTTTTTTTTTTATACAAGAACTGGAGTATAGGACAGCAGCATGGGAGGGGAGGGTGAGAGGATGCACCAGAGACAAAATGGGCAACAGAACAGGCAGACTGAGTGAAATACACTGCTGAGGGGAGCAGCGGGCGCTACAGGAGAGGTCTGCTGTGCCATGTGGGTATCTCCCTGGCCGGCTGGGAATTGAACCCATGATGTAGAGGCTGTGGACAGCTTCACAGCACTGCGCTCAGCCCGCTGCGCCACTGGGGAGGCCCTGATTAGTTAATATTGTTAAAGAAAAAATTAGTTATGATACTAGAGATCTATAAGGCAGGATTTTTTCAACGCTATCATGATAGATGTCTGGGCCACTGCAATAGGGTTTTATTATAGGGGGACGAGATTGGACTCAACCCTGTACAAAACAAGGAAAAGTGAGAATTTATAGCCAAGGAACAGGGTGGGTTGGTTGGATGAAAAAATACTAATAGGTAACATCAGAAGTAAAGGGGGATCTTGGCTAATCCAACCTAACAACATGTTTCTGAGCAAGTCCAGGGTTATGAGACACAACCTGGAAGGTGGCTGGAGAACGAGGAGCCTGGTTAGAAATGGAGGATGATAAGATGGTGAGGCTGGGGGAGTCTGCTGAGCTGACATAGTAGGATTCTTGCTAAAATTGTACAAAGCAGAGATGAAAGAAATCCAAAGGTTATGCCTCCTTGCAAAGAGGGTCCAGCAGAAGCTGAGTGGTGTTTGGTGAAGGAGAGGGCCTTTGACAATATGGTCTTTATAAGCCAGTTTCACTGAAAACATTTGGAACAGGCAAACCATACTGGCTAATGATTAAACTCATATTCTTTTTTAACATTTGTGAACTTTAGTGGGGAAAACTGGTTTGCATTTTAAATACATAAACTATAAAATATTAAAACAATAATTTCAGTATCTTTTTAAAATTTTTTTAAAAAATTATATTTTAATTTTTTTTTTCTTTTGGGGGAACCGCCATATTGTTTCCATAGTGACTGCACCAGTTCCCATTCCCACCAACAGTGCATGAAGATGCCTTTTTCTCCACATCCTCCATTTGAAAAATAGAAGATGAATCTTTCGATTACATTAGGTAGCATCATGGTAGCAATTGTTTAGCTTCAGAATTTCTGCAAAAGTCAGCAATTCATGAAAGTTACAAGAGTGACAATAATAAACTTGTAGATATGAGCCAATGCGTCAAAAAATACTACCATTCAAAAGCAATGTGGGAATTCTAGCACTTTTGCCAGTTCATCTTTTTTAAAATACAGAAATATGTAATCTAGGAGAGACTAATTTTACCATTTGCATTTTTGAAGACATGACCTTCTGTGCCCCATTTAGGAGCCCAAACGTTGTCAGTTGGCCGAAGTCAACATTTTAATCTTGACACATAGCTGTCAGATACCTGGGGAGATCATACTCTGTCTACGGCATCACTTTGAAAATGTCCTTTCTCTTTTCTACTCCAGCACCTTCCTTCCAGCTCTTTCCTTTCATGCACATCATCCCCATAGCCCATGTGGCTTGAAATAGTGTTGTCCTCTTTGGGAATCAGGGAAAAAGAGGAGTTAAATGAATAGAGCAAGGAAAAAGCTGTTTCCCTGATATGTGAATGACTTTCCAGATCATACCAACTTTGCCAATTTGTTCCTATGATATTTTCAGATGGGAGAAAAATCTGCTCCTGTCCTGCTGATTGCTGCAAATCCGCTCATTTGAGTGCTCCTCCGGGAGTATGTTTGTGGCTTGGAAGGAGCCGCTGGAGTATTAATAAGCATAATCCAGGGGCACACATTTGTTACCAGTGAGCCACTGCCAAAGTCATCATTTTAATTAATTTACATCTTTCTAGTTAAATGTGATAAACAAACTTTGGGATCTGCTCTCTGAAACAAAGTGTAGGAGACTTGAGTATATTTTACCAATATTTTAATTTTCTCTGACTATATGTGATACGTTTCCAATAAGCTTGTAAGTTCCTGGCACATTCATTTTTATTAATAAAACTCACATATAATGGAATTTTAATATTCTAGTACTTCAGCATTTAAGGTCAGGGATCATTGGCCACAAAAATTTATGAATCAGATACTTATTGAAATATTCATTATTAAAATACAAAAACTAAAGTATAAAAAACAAATATCCAAGAGTAGAGAAATAATAAAGTACATTATGGAAGAATCATTTAAGTGAATATTACAGATTTGTTGAAACATTGAAGTCATTATAATTATGTTTCCAAAGAACTTTTAATAACAAGTAAAGACATAATTTTTTCGTTGTTAAGTTAATGTTGCTTTACAACACCCTGCAAATGATCTAGGGGTACAGATTTATACTTCTTCAGATGTACGTGATCACACTGTACCTACCACCAAAGTCCCCTTAAACCTCCACCATAATCCAAGGGGCCTCCTGCCCCCTTTGCTCTACAATCCCTACCTTTCCCTATTGGTTGCCTTAATTCTGCAGTCAAATTTCTAGGGTTTGTTGAGGTTTAGTTTTGTTCCTTCCTTTGTGTTGTTTCTTTATATTCCACATGTGGGTGAAATCATCTGGTATTTGTCTTTTTTCTTCTGACTTATTTTGTTTCGCGTCACCCCCTCCAGTTCCATCTGTGTTGTGGCATTAAGCAAGATTTAATCCTTTTTTATATAGCTGAGTAGTATTCCATTGAGTTTATGTAGCACATCGTCTCTATCCATCTGTCATTGTGTGTTTAGTTTGCTTCCAGAACATGGCTATTAAAATAATGTTTCTTTGAACATAGGAATAAATATATACATTTGAATTGTTGTTTTTGAAATATACACACTTTAAATGAAAATTGAGGTATCAGAATTATCTCTACAGTTTAAACTTGACTGTAAATTACAGAGACTAAAGGAAGAGAATGTAAGCAATCAGTTCCTCGGGGGATGATTTGATATATTTTTTCCTGTTTTTACTTGCAAATTAAATTTTTTGTAATTAGGAAAAAAGTCCCCTAAAATTAATTTTGTCTACAAGAGCAACTGGTTTGACTAAATTTAGTTTAAAAATAAAATGCTAAGTTAAATTAAATCAACCTCTGTGGAAGTAAGTTGTTTGATGGAAAAATTTGTTTTTTCCCTTTTTCTCTGTCAAAATCATTTATTTTATACAATACTTTTATCTTGTGCTTGGAAATGTCACTGCTTCCTATTCCTTATACCTTGAAGTCTAAATCTTGTTGACTGCTTTTCAAGGCCTTCCACAATTTTGCTCCATCAAATATTATTCTCCCTTACTCTGCTTGTCTGATTGTCAACATGCATTGAAATCACCCTGAAAACTTCATATTTGCTCATAAAACACACATACACACACACTTGGACTGTTTTATGCTCACCAGCTTGAGAGATTACATCACTTTCATTCATTCATTTACTCAGCAAATATTTGAGTTTCTGCTGTGAACCAGGTGATATTCTAGGTTATGGGGATACAGAGTTTAAAGGGTAAGTATTCCTTTCCAGTGGACGTGTTTGTCTAGAGAAAAAAATGGTTTAACAGGAAGGCTCTTAAAAATGAGCTGAGTGGACTCCTCTACAATTTGATGTCCAGACCTCAAACTTCACTTTGGTACCAGAATTCTGTCTATTGGATCAATTTAATCTGGTCCCTTGGAATAAGGAAAACTAACTCATTTCTACCTTGAGTCACTCCCTCTGCCTTATATTTTTGTGGAGCACCACATCAAATGCACCATTGTATGTGCTGTGAAGCAAAATGCTATTGAGGACAATATTCCTTTATGTCATTCTCTTCCACTTTGTGATGTTTATGTGCCTTGTTTGCATTCTTGTTTTCTGCAAGGAATTTAGTGTGCTTCCCCCTTTAACCTCAGATAAGGTTAAAGATGGAATACATCCCATTTCCCTTTTTACTCTGACTACCAGAAAGAGCAGCATCATGTTTTTCCTTTACTTTGATATCTACAAATGTTGGCATACCTACATCAGTATCATTTTCAGAGGTTGATTTTTCATTTATAATTATATTGGTTTCATTCATTGCTTATAACTTCTTGTAAGGGGCCCTAATCTTTGCCGAAAGAGAAGAGGACAAATGTAAAGGGTGCTAGGCAGATGCCTGAGGGATGATTTACTAGGAGTGGTAGCAGCAACCGACTTTCAGCGGGGTTCTTCTTTGATAATTACCCTCAGTCAAAAAAGAACCTCCTTCCCAAGATTACGTCCCTGTTCTTGGAGCAGTCTCCATCTAAAATCTGGCTAATTGAGGTGCAGGTAGAAACAAGGGATGATAGTGCTGATGGCCACCCAAGATCAAATACATTGCAGGTCAGTTTCTTCCTTTCCCCAACTCTGCATCTCTTACCCTTACAGGCGTTGTCTCCGAGAGTATTCACCAGCACCTCTCATTTATGCAAATTTCAGTCCCAGAGTTTCATTCCCAGGAAATCCTTCCGACAATAATTAGATTAACAAAAAGTGAAAATGATGCTGTCTCCTACTGATTACCATAGATACCTGTCATTAGTGGGTCGATAGCCTTGCTGCCCCAACCCCATATGTCACTAGGTCCTTGGTGACACCATAAGTCTCCAATTTCCATTTTTCTTAGAGTTAGAGCTACACTTCTCAGCACTGA